AATGCTTGAAATTTTAACACAATCTTCTCTGAGGCATGCCATATGGTGGGATACACTTTTGTTCAAATCTGATATCAATTCCTGTTTGTCTGTGCGTCTGTCCGTTTCATACATAACAAATTTTCATTGCAGTTTTCTCAGCAAATACTCATCAAAGATGCGTGATATTTTAACACAATCTTCTCTGAGGCATGCCATACATTGGGATACATTTTTGTTCAAATCCTATGTCAACTTCCTGTTTGTCTGTGCGTCTGTCCTTTTCATACATAACAAATCTTCGTCATAGTTTTCCCATTAGCTATTCATAGCAGATGCTTGAAATTTTATTACACTCTTTGTTGAATAATTCTGATGTCAACTTCATATTTTTTGTGCATCTGCCTGTAATTGAACTTTAACACGATAGCGCTTATTTAGATCAGAGTGGGGGTATTACTAGTGAGCATTGGCTCACAGATTTCTTGTTTTTACTTCAATATGATGTTATTTGTTTTGTCTGCTTTAAATAATAAAACAAACTCAGCTGTTTGACAGGAGAACCAAGGAACATAAATAAAACGTATTATAAATAGTCTTTTATAAAAATAGAAAAAAAGATAACTACTAAGTATGTTTAAAAATTCATTTATGTTCGTTAACGGTTTTAATTTAGTGGTGGTCATCCACGAACAATTTGTAAGCAATTTGTATTATAATTTTTTTTATTCTTTGTTAAGAAATGGATCACAATTTGTTGGATGAGCAATTAGAACACACAAGAATGCAGGCGGAATGATTATTGAAATAGTTTTCATTTATATTTAAAACATGATTGAAAAGATTATGTTGTCATATTTTTATATTTCAAATTGAGAAACTAAAAAAAATGCTTTAATATGAATCTTATGTACCGAGGACTGGATAACAAAACAAGTCAAAATATTAAAAGTTACGTCGTATGTAACTTGCAGCAGCAGATCCAAGATTCCTGATATTTGGCTTCAGATATGAAATCTTTTAGTTGTTTATATTATTCCTATCAAGGTGAATTGCCAAATTTTTGTACATGTAAATATTTTTTTTTATACCCGGTTTATACGAAACTTTTATTTTAAGTGTTATCTGTTTTTAACAATTTTATTTAAATACCATGAGTATTTTGAAAGCCCGATTACACATCAACTTGCTTATTTCTTTCTATAATTCTCTCAACAATAGAACACTTATCTTATACTGTAAAACAGTTTGTCGTGTGTTGCTACCTTTGTGACGTTTAATAATTTGTTTGAAACTCTCAAACGTATGTTTAACAATGACTTATAATTATTTGTTTATCTTAATTTGTTTACATAAGGTAGGAATCTTCTCATATTTCTTGTATTTAAAAATTACTGCAAATTTCACAAAATCAAAAAGGCGATATCACTAAGTGATGGCACCAGTGAAATTAAATTTGACCCTTTTATATTAGATTCAATGTCAAACCAAGGTCATTACCTTTTCACCGGATATAAAAACAAATGCGATCCTCTCTTGTTTTTTTTCAAAAGAGTGAATTTTATTTCTTTTTGCATAAAACGATACTACCAGAATAAGATATCCAAGTTGACATAAATTACCTAACTAAAATGAAAACTGGCTAATCCGAATTTTCTCTATTTTAAATTGTAAGGATATATTAGTTAACTTGATATGCTTCCTATATTTTATATTTTCTTATTTTCACATATGATAAAGTTGTCATATAAAGATACAAAATGACACAAAAACAAAAAAAAGTTTTGAATCTTTTACTAAGAGAGAAAAACACCTATCACGAATATTTTGCTTTGAAAAACTAACTTAGTTCTAGTTTGCTTCGAAAACAATATTCATTAGATATATTTTGAAAGTTTAGTCCCTTATCTTAAATTTAATTTACATTTGAAATGTTTTAGGTCTTCGATTGTGTAAAAATTCAGTCTGATCTCATACCTTTTAGACATCCACTTGTGAGAAAGCAAAATATTTTTTTTTTAAATTATAAACTAACAAATGACAAATATACAAATATATATATTTTACGTGTCAACATATGACTAATCAAACTACTCAAATCTACTGTTGTAAAATATTCCGAATTGTCTCATTCACTATTCTTTAATGAAGTGAGGAGTCAGAACTTATGATTTCTTGTTAAACATTTTCTTGAACATGCTAAATATCTTCATTCTCTTAACTGATTCCATTTTTAGTAAAGAAAACAACATGTATTTTTTCTAATATACATGTAACAGATTGTATGTTATTACGCCTCAAGCAAGAATTTTCCACTTACTACTGGTGCAGGGTGTCAAATAGAAACTTTACAGTCAGGACCATTATAAAGTAAGACATCGTTTCTTGATAAAGTATTTCATTTGATAGAGCTATATCTTTAACTTAATGTTTATAATATAAATGATTGTGTTCACAGAATGCACTGTATGTTGTCACCATAGACATTGGTACACCTTACTCTGCGTACCCTTTTTGCCACCCATGAAAATTTTCTTTGAAATAAACGAAAGGAACATCAGTGAAATATATTTTCGGAATTGAATTGCTAATAAAATTAATATCACATAAAGCTTTTTCAATCATGCTTCTAAACCAAAAACAAAAGTTTGTCAGCTTTGGCTATGGTATTAAAAACGTGCACTATAAATTAAATGAATATAAGAAGAAGAAACATTTTAAATTCAGTTGAAAAAATAAATAATTGAAAATTATATTGCAAGGATATATTTGATATTCAGATCAAAAAAAGGTGATACAGTATATTTTGATGAATTTACTGACAAAACATATACGACCCACGTTTCGAAGACCAAACTTCTCTGGAATTTAAAGTTTATATGTGTGAACATAGGAATCCAAAATATATTGGTGACAAAGGATTTAAAGAGATCGGGCCTTTGATCGTGCCAATGACGGAAAGAAGTGGAAAAAACAATAGGAAAATCAATGAGGAACGAAACTTACTGAGGAGGGATTTAATGAAACGTCAAAAACTTTAGTGAATATAAAATTTGATTTTAGAGAGTATGTGGTAATGGTAGATTTGAAATGAAGCATCTGTCAGCTTTTGTATTCATTTCAACTATGACTATTAAATTGAAGAAAAGACTGATTTATTTAACATAGAAAAATTAAAATACGCCTATTCATCTCAAAGAAACAACTAATTGTTGATCCATCCAGAATTTCCTAAAGAAAAACATAAGCAATCATCTACATGTATATGGGTTTTAAGTTTTACTTAAGTTTTACTTTATTTTTAATAAACGTGTACATTGGAATGTCTGTGTATTAAAACGAGTTATTGCGCTTGCATTATCTTTGGAACTTTTTGGCGTTGTATTATATTATATAATCAATGTTTACTTATCAATCATATTCATAACATTCGGTTTCATTCTGTAATGATTGAATTTTGAGACAGATAATAGAAGTTAATTGGTAATGTGATGGATGTCGTTAACAATGATTGCATAATTAATTACAAGTATTTCAATAATCAAAATTTAATTATTGGTGAAATGCATCGTATTTAAGTGTTTTGCTGTGTATTAAATTCGAGAGTGGAGACTGTTTCTTGAAATGCTGTGATAGTACAGAAACTGTTAGGTAAGTTAATGTCAGTACACAAACATATTAAGAATGAATTATTTCATTTAAACAATTTTTCACGGGCAGTCGTATATAACAGGATTTTTCCTTCAGTGTTTGGCATTAATACATTTATAAGACTTTTAATCATTTTATGTACATGTAATTCTGGGTAATTTTTCAAAATTAATTAAGTTAACTCAAATACTTGAGTGTAAAATGAAAAAGTGTACCCTTGAAAATGTTTGATTATTCAATCTTTGTTGGAGCATTAAAGTTTTCTTAACAATTTAGGCCATTTGTCTTTTGCATGAATTATTTTAAGTTTTCATGATGTAAATCCTGATTCCTTATTCAAAAGATCAAAGATAAAAAACGAAGTGTTTTACAACGGAATTGCATTTCTGATTTAAAGGTGTTAGCCCCTCCAGTTTGTTAACACATTGGTTAAACATGACATGTTTAATCCCATGGTGGCATTAATGAAGATCCTTTCAAATTCCAACGAAAAAAGGGATCAAGACTGAAGAAAAAGTGAGATATGACCAGTGCCCCCGCCTTAAATCCAGTGTACATGTATTTGAATTATACCTTGCAATTGGGTTCAAGGCAATTGACAGTAAAGAAAATTTTAAAAACCCTACCTATTGTTATTAAATTGTCAGCCAAAAAACGACCGAGCGATTAGATTTACGAACTGCCGACTTTTTACTAGTTTGTTGAGATCCCTGTAACATCAACATATGATTAAGTAGCCTGTAATGCATTAAAACTGATCGTATTCAGAGCAGGTTTTTGAGTAGCAAATAAATTGGAAGACATGAAAAACGTAAACAGATAATAACAGAACATTACACATAAAGAACAGATGACGGTGGAAAAGCTGTATTCATCTCGTGTGCCATACAGTTTATTTGTTTACCGGTCTTTTTATGTTGTATTTGTACCTGATTCCCTAAGATCACCCATTTGTACCTGTTTTCGTCTGTCATTGTTCGTCGTCAATCGGTCGTAAATGTTTGTACATTTTTAGCTTCTTTTCTAGAACAACTGAATAAAACTTAATTAACTAGCATTTAGCTATTTAACAGAGATGTTTACCTAATTTATACAAGAGGGCGCTCCTTAAGCCTCATAAAAATCCCTGTTATCATCCAAGTTTTCCCGTAACACATGTTATAAGCATGCAAGTATAAGCACCATACTCTTTGTATCCAATATATTTTTATATTCATAATTAAGTGTATATCTAACCATTAACATCTATCAACTTTACAAGATTCTTGTTTAAAAGACTGCTACAGTTGAAAATAAAGCATGGTAATGCTAAGCCCCCTTCGGTAGAAATTGAGATGTCTCTTGTTTTGTTTTATAATTTTTGGTCGTACCTGAAAATATCCTTATTCTATCGTTCAATGTTCTATGTAAAGGATTCCGTCTGGTTGTCATCTCTTTTTCAAAGTCTAAGGACAGACTTTGTGTTTTTATTCCTTTATTTAATGTCACAGTCTCTACAAATAAAACAAAAGTAATATTAAAAATAAATTATATCTAATAAAATTTCATTATAAGCAAATTTGATGAGTAATATAAATTAAGTAGGGTTTAAAAAATTATCGGTTTATTTCGTGTTATAACAATTTCAAAGAATGTAACTTCTCCTCAAAATAGAACATTTCAAATAAATAACAACTTATTACAATAAAATAAATTTAGTTACATGTAAAAACATATCGGAACCAAATTTACTCAAAACAGGCAATTTAACACAACAATAATAACGTTTTTTTTTTCTTTTCAGCTCGGCATACCTGAAAAATATGATTTAGTGTCTTAAAAGACAACAGGGGAAAGCACGTGTCAGTTGAATATTGAACTTAAAACCTTACCAATAGGTGTTGCAATATATATGCACCCTTCGAATTGGTTGCATCTAGATTCAGTGCAGTTACAAGTGAAAATACAGCTTCTTCCATAGTATGGGTATTTGCAAGCTAAGTAAACAAAAAAGTTGGAATGTAAAAATTCTTAATTAAACTTTATTATATATAAAAAATAAATTTATCTGTTTAAGGTAGTCCGATCCTCAGGTTTATAAAACTAGCAGTTAAATAATCATAAATATTCATAAAAGTGTATCTGAATCCACAAAATTATGTAAATTTATCCACAGTATTTCTTTAAACTTAAAGATTAAAGTTAATCATATTATATAGGGAAAAATTGTTAAATCTCCAATATCTTTTACAGGAAAAGCGAATTGGAATATCAGCAATGCATTTTCTAATTGCAAATTGATCAACAAATATATTTTAGGTTTAAAAACTACAGATATCAAGGAATTCAGAGACATTGTCATGATTTTTATACTTATTTGGTACTTTTGTGTTCTATTTTGGTCATGTAATCTATAATCCGTAAAGTGTAAAAGGCTTTTGCTATCATTGCAAGACACCACAAATCACTTCTCATTTCATATCATGCTAATAAGCTTTGTTATCTAAGGCTGGATTCAAGAAAATCTTATTTCTCTAACACTTTATTAATTTTTTCCCCTTCTATAGGGTACAAATGTAAACTTTTATAAGACAATCTCTAAGACTTCCAAAGACTTTTAATCTTATAAAGATGAATAAGATGAAAATCGTTGCACGAAAAAAATTAATTTTCAAGCTTCATTTTGATGCATTTCAAATTAAATATTAATGTTTGGAGTTATCCGCAAGTGAGTTAAGGCTACATATGGAGGTTTCTATGCAAAATATTAATTAAATTCCATAATTGCTCTACCTACCGCACAGAAAATGTTAAGACTTGTTTTCTAATATCCTGGCGTGTTGTATTTTCGACCTATTTAGATGTTATTTATTAATTTATTGCAAACTTTATAGAATCTGAAAAAAATATGGGCTTAAAATGTTAGCATATGTGTCTATAAATAAAATGACAAAACCCAAATTGAAGTTTTGTGTTTATTTTATTCATATGCCATAATATGGAGAGGGTGCAGTTTTCCTTACAAAAATATTAGCGTCTTGTGTTTTCGACCTAAATATAGTATCAACGCCTAATCAGTATTGGCTGTAAATATCCATTGGATATTCCAAACAATAAAAACACGATTGTCTGACTTTCAAAATTTTTTTAACAAGTTGCATATTTTGGTTGCAAATACATTTATTCGTTGGTTGAACCCATCTGTCAGTTGCTGTGCATTTCCAAAAAAAAAAAAAAAATCAGTGAAATTACGTTGCATTTTTCAGTAAAAATCTTTAAGAAAATGCCTATATTTAAGGAAGAAAAGAGTTTGTTTGATGCACCCATTGATTTGACAGAGATCTTAATTTTCTTTCAGAAAATGTCATCAAAAAATCTTTGTAATTAATCAATTACAGCTTTGATTAATCAACAGATAAAATGTGCATTAGTAAAAAAACTAGAATTTCTGACATCGGACTAAAACCATCGGGGGAATTCCATTGAATTAATTATTTTGGGTATTTTCACTACAGTTGTGCTTCAAAGACATTGTTCCAAGTGTAACAAGTGAAAATAATGCTGTATAGCGCGGTATATGCACAGGAAGCAGATTGGGAAAAATATGTCGAAAATACAATACGGTCGAAAATGGGATACGAGACGATACATTCTTGGTACCATCGACATGCGATACCCAGTACACATTATGACATCATATTATGACGTCAACGACCTCTACTACACAAGTTTATAAGAGACATCAACAAAATCGCTTCAGTGCAAGGGCATACCTTACTTTGTTTTACAGAAAATAGGTATAAAAAGACGCAGGATATTCCAAGGATTTAAGATACTGCTGCACAAATGTCGGTACTGCAATTGTTTAGTTACTGTTCGTGCAGTTTTAAGTTTAAACAGGGTAAAAATTCACAGTCCAGTGTAAGTTTCTTAATTTTTTTATCGATTGAGAATATGCATAGGATTTGTGCAGCAATTTTATAAATTTTAAGAATATTCTCCTTAATATCATACATTGTTTATTTTGAATTAGATAGGATATGCACTTGCGCCGAGGTGATTTTGTTATGTGATTTATTACCTTGAATGGGAGAGAACAATGGCGTCATAATATGACGTCATAATGTGCACTTGCATTAACAAACTGTGGGTACTAAGTATGTATAAGAAAATCAATTTGAACTTTCTCTGTACATAAAATATAAATCTTATGAATTTTTATTAGCTCATTTGCGTAGAAATATCCATATTTAGCCTTAACTCACTTGCGTTTCTTCCTGGCTGAGGATGGCATATCCTTAAATATAATGTAGCTTTATGCGTACGTACCCTTTTTTAATGGTTGTTAAAATAAATCTAACAATTCTCTAATATTACACTAATTTTCCAATTTCATTAAAAATATTTAATACGCAAGTTTCGATATTATCTCCCTGGGTTCGCTCTTTCTCTGAAGATGGGAGTTTCGTTGCCGCGTAGACAGACGGGTGGGACAGAAATTTATATTTTGGATACATTGCATCATCGTTATACTGGTTTATCATCACTATATATTGTCAGGATGCACTCTACAACTTGAGAATAAACGAAACAATGTCAAGGCATCATTTTTTTTGAAAGCAACTAAATCGTAACAAAAAAGAAAATATCAGTGGATGCAAGACTTTACAAACGAGGGAAGAGATATGGACCTTTAATAAATACGGTATGCATGCACTGGATCATTGCACATCGACAATCTATATGACAAATTGATTCCTTTTCTTATTATAACTTTAAAAAAAACACTAATTTTTTTTAGAAAATGTACAATCAAGAAAATCGGTTACATTTTATAATGACTACGACGGTTCTTTCGTTTACCGTACCCTATTATTGAAAGAAGATTAAATTTTGTAAATATGCATAGTTGAGCTTGAAAAAATCATGAAAAGCATTTCTGCTTAACATCATCATTTTTCTATAACATTTAATAAATTCTAAAAGCCATTCATATCGTTCCTTTATTCATGCACGTTTGTATACAGAAAAAAAAACCTGTCCCATCTCCATGCTGAAATGGATACTTTTTGCACCTCTATCCCAGGAGAGTTACAATTTCGAAACTCTCGTATAAACAGAGCTTCTTGTGGCTAATTATAGCACACAATATGATAATAAGTGTTTAATACAATGTTCGAATAACGTGACAGTTACATCATGTATTATGATTGGATTAGCTGTCATGACGTAAATTTTTATATCTTAAAGGGTATTCATATAAGTGGTTCTACGGGGCATACATTTCTATGATGTCTATAATTTTTCCAAATATCTATTTTGCCTCGACAGCATAGTTTTCGAAGCTTTATGGCCCGTCTGTCAGGATGCCCGCTATAATTTGTGCTATTTCCTTTGCACCTTTTCCATAAATTGGAGATAAACCTTTAGGAAATATTTTGCAAACATTTTTTTCTTTGGAGCAGATTTGATATCGTCTTACAGGTTTAGAAAAATTGGATAATTCTTTGAAATTTTTTCCTAAGACTTGGACGATGAAATAGATTTGGAAAATGTTAGTAAATTCTTCAATTGAATAACAAATATGGACAATTTACATACATTAGAGGTTTACAGATGAGAACAAATTTCAGAAAGTGTAAGTTTAGTGCTAAAAGTGTAATACGACTTTTGCAAAAATATACCAAAACAGGAAAATTTTATGAAGAAGCGCAAAATGGTGAAAAATAAGGAAAATCACATACTTTAAAATCGGTTTATGTTTTTGTTCAAAGACTTACGAATGCAGTCCTGTATTTGGGAATCCCATCGGTAACCTCTGCAGCACTTTGAAGGCCTAAGAGAAAACATACCGTTTAAATATTTTTCAGTAATATTCACCAAAACTTATCTATTTCAATAGTTTAAAAATAAGTTATTTTTAAATTACAATTCCGCGTCCAATACTGACAGTTGCAAAATATAAGACATGATATTTGATAGAAATTTTTGAGAAAATATTAACCTCAAATTTGCCTCCCTACATACAATTTTTCAAGTTAAGGAAACACCACCAATTACCGGTAGATAGCTGCAAAATTTGACCTGTGCTCGCACTCAGGGCCATTAGATAGTGTGATAGCTTTTTTGTGTCAGCATCAACATAATACTGCAACATAATATCTCGGTTTATGCGGTCACATCCACAAAAAAAGGTTTCAACGTCCTGGTGGTATGTTATTTCTTTTATATTTACAAATACATGCAGCATACTCAATATATAAACTTCCTTGATTAGTAAAAAAATCGAGAGAAAATTTTCACATTGATAAGCAAAATCAAAAATAATTTTCTTACCCAGAACAATGTAGCCCAAAGATATGAAGGGGATACAGTAAACACAGTGTCAATGTAGCGCAGAACATTTTTTAGGAAGTAACTCAGAACTACAAGGCAAAAGCAGTCTCTGAATTAAGTCTCTGTATCCTTTGACATTTGACACAATTACCAAAAATAGTTTTTTTTTCCTTAAACGCTTTATACATATGCAGCGAACAAAAATTTGATCAAAAATAATGTACATCACAGGGGCTTGTAATTTCCGAATACAAATTGAGGAGTAAAACACCCTTTGAAAGAGACTTTCCTTAATAGTCATTAAATCAATCATTTTGTTTATAAAAACATAACTATCAGGAATCTTTTACCTTTTGTGGCTGTTTAATATTTTTTGTAATATTAATTGAACATGAATATTTGAAAGGGAAATCTGTGATTTGTTTCAATATTTAAATACTCGGAACTAGATGCTTGAAAACTGTCATGCGATTATATGAAGGTAAAAAAACAAAATATTAAGCATTATGTAAAAATCAGTCTTCCATTTCAAGAATTCATTCTGTAATTGACTTTTCATGAATATTAATTTTAATGAAAATAACATTAATTCTTTAAAAATATTGATGCAAATCAGCATTTTATATAATCTATGATATTTTGAATTTCATATTTCATCGTTTGGA